TGTATGTATGTATGTATGTATGTATGTATGTATGTATGTATGTATGTATGTATGTATGTATGTATGTATGTATGTATGTATGTATGTATGTATGTATGTATGTATGTATGTATGTATGTATGTATGTATGTATGTATGTATGTATGTATGTATGTATGTATGTATGTATGTATGTATGTATGTATGTATGTATGTATGTATGTATGTATGTATGTATGTATGTATGTATGTATGTATGTATGTATGTATGTATGTATGTATGTATGTATGTATGTATGTATGTATGTATGTATGTATTTTCATCTCTCCGGGCTCCCGCCGTTCTTCCAGGAGAATCTGAGGAGACTCGTGCAGTCAGCCGAGCAAAATCGCCAGAAGAGAGTACCCACTTCGGTCATACGTGACCTTTTGCTGGTATCTTCCGCCGAGGGAGCCGATGAGGTCCTATCTAAGCTGGAAGGTAGTGTTCTCGCCACCCGAATAGGTCACTTCCTCGGAGTTGACGATTCTTTGCCTCAATGCTTTCGAATCTGACATTTATTACATCGGACTTCATTCTTTCTCAGTTTACGAATCCGAGCTCTCGAAGACATCTTCTTTATGCAGCATCCAATGAATCTCTCGATTTCGCTTGAGCCAATAAATCCTCACGTTTCTGGACGGAGAGTGATACATCTAAACTTTCAGCTCTCCCTCAATTTCCGACGTTTTTCTCGGCTAAACCCGCAATTCCTTATTCACTAATTTCTCGAGTAGATTCTGGTCGAATCGGACATACACGCCTTCACTTTGGTCGAGAAAATAAACGGGATCCTCGAAACTCTTGATATCAAAGCCCTCTCGCATGAGCTTCATTTTGGGCAGTTTGAAAGTTCCGGTCGCCTCCAGTTTCTCGGCTATCCTGATGAACAAAGGCACAGCGTAGGCAGGTAGTTCTTTCCGCAGACACTCGAGAAGCTTATTAACATCGACGACTTGAGCCGGATCGAGCAGTGCAGCCATTCCAGCCTTTCCTTCAAGGCCGGGAATTTCGACTCCGTAGACTACGCTATCGCTGAGATCTGCGTATTTACTAATGACGTCCTCGACTTCTGTTGTCGAAACGTTCTCCCCTTTCCATCGGAACGTATCTCCCGTGCGATCTTTGAAGAACAAGTAGCCATCATTGTTGAAAACGAGGATATCCCCAGATGCGAAGCACTCGTCCCCTTTCCTAAAAACGTTTCTATAGATCTTCCTCGTGGTTGCGGACGAATCTGTGTAACCGTCGAACCTGCATTGAGGTTTCTTGTCTATGCTTGCGACGAGTTCTCCAGGCTCGTTGGGTCTCACTCGAACACAGAGACCTCGTTTGTTTCTTTCGGGCGTCCCACTCTCGGGATCAATTTTAATTATGTTCAAGTTATATATGAAACTCGCCAAAAAGGGGCTCACCCTACAGATAGTCGGGACGAAGCCAACGCTCCCTACGGTTCCGTCGATGTTTATTATGTTTGCGTTGCCCTCCGTCGATCCATACAATTCTCGCAAGTTTTCGATTCGGAACCGATTTTTGAAATCCATCCAGAGTTGCGGACGTAAGCCGTTGCCGAACATCAGACGTATAGAATGTTGATTATCAGTCACCTTAGGAGCTTGGTTGTAAAGATATCGACAAATTTCCCCAATGTATTGAGTTACTGTGCACTGATACTTTATGCAATCCTCCCAAAAAGTCGAAGCACTAAATTTCGGAGCCATAGCCCCACTGAGGCCAAACAACACACTTTGTGAAGTACCTAATACACCCCCAGCGATGTGATACAATGGAAGATAGTGATACATTCTGTCCGAAGATTTCAGAGGCATCATGTGATGTATCATTATTCCACAGAAAATGTAGCGTAAATGCTTGATAACCGCTGCCTTCGGCATGCCGGTAGTCCCCGATGTGAAGATATAGAGTAAATTGTCGTCGAGTGAGCCTCTGTAGCTCGGAAGCTCACTCGGCATCGAATCCAAATTCGCAAGGATATTCTCTCCAGGGAATTGAGGATACATTTCGGACTCTCCGTATATGAAAAATCTGGCTTCTCTCTTATCCTTGATGCTGGCGGTGATTTCCATGATGTGGGGAGCCATTTGGGGCGTGAAAATGATTGCCTTGGTGTTCACAACTGAAATGCAGTGCAGGAGCGGCGACTGTCGCAGGTTATAATTGACGACGGCCGTAGCAACGCCGATTTTCGACAGGGCCAACCAAACGAATACGACATCAGCCCTGTTCTCCATGACTAGAGCGACGTTATCTCCAGCTCTGAGATCTCTCTGGAGAAAATAGTTTGCGATCTTGCTCGTGTAGTCTTCGACGTCTTGAAATGTCCACTCGCGCTCGGGTGTCACGAACATCGTTTTGTGTGGATGTTGCTTCACTCGATCTCGGAACAGCATCGGGACTGTTTTCCGGCGCCACATAATTGATCGCAGCGCAATGTTCGATCCAAGGAATCTCCAACCCGCTGTGAGATCCCTCCGAGAAGTCTTCATGCTCAGCCAGACGGTGTCATAGTGGACCAACAGGTTGAAGACAAGGACTACGAACGCAGCCACACTACAAGAGACGTAATACCACCCACAGGCAAAGAGTAGCACACTGACGACGAGTGCCAGCATTGCCTTGCCGTTCCGGACTCCTGATAGCAGAACAAATTGAGGTCGTCTTCCACATTGATTCACTCACGTCCTCTCACTTGCTCACAACCGAGAGCAAGAAGAAAACAAGTGCCGTCGACATCGGCGGTGGAATCCAAGCGCACTTCGAGGATCTAATCTCAACGACGAGACAATGGATGAGCGTTATAGGGCGAGAGTCTAGAGATTTCCCTTCTTACGCTCCAGGGATGAGAAGCTCTTAGCTGCTCGTTGGTACCGGAAGAACGCTCAAATGAGATGTTCTCATCATCTCCGAAACTGCCGCCTTGAGTCAGAAAACCCTTCCTCATCATGATTAATTTATTCCGCACCCTGCCGCGATTTCCGAAACCCCGATTCTCGAGGCTCCCAATCGTTCCACGGTGGCGTGAGCCTCCGAAAAATATCTTATTTCTGTATCCAGCCGCGAGCAGTTACTTTCTATAGCTCGACAGAGCTCATGATTGAGTACACAGCATCATGGGTTCGGTGCATGAAGGCGCAATCTGGTCGCATCAACAGGACTCAACAACAGGATATCATCCCTCAGAAGACCGCGATATGGGGAAATCGCATATCTAGAATCGTCTGGGTACAGCGAATTGGCGATAGGTGTGGCTGTATTATGAATGAGCAGCCCGCCTCGAGGGGGCAGCGTCGAGCTTGTTCGCTTGTCGCGATGCTGCGAGTACACTCACATTGGTCTCTCCATTTTCCGGATTGCGAGTCGCGGCCTCATCCTAAGAACGGAAAAACATAATCAAAATGTGGAGACTGCCTGGAGAACTGCATGACACACGACCTCCTGGAACCAACTTCAAGTCGCCGAGACTTGCGTGCGGTACTCACTTAGTCCTAGGAAACCATACGAGGCTACTATGACTTGCTAAGATTCACAACTACGTATACCGGATTTTGGACCTGCCCCGATCTCCATCTTCCTCGATGATATAAATTCCGAATTCCCGCTCCAACGACGGCGCCGTATTCTGTCTATCTATTCACCCGCAGCGAGTCCTAGGACATCTATGCACCGTCGAGGCTCCCCGTCCAGAGAGATCCGTTATTCCAGTCAGAGCTGTCAAAGATGCCTATAACAGTGACCGAATTCCATCTGATCAGCTAGAAAACATAGAGAATCCGCTACCAGCGGGAACAAATCGGGGAAGAATCGGTGCCGAATGAGCCGCAAAAAGAAGTGACCGGAGATGGGCGAACGTGAAATGAGGTACGGAGAGCATTCAATCCAGCCCCGAGCCGAATATAAGATATTTTCACGGCAAAGACTCACGCAGTAGATGATTCGTTCATCAGAGGACGGGAGCTGAGCACACACACTATCAAGAATTGTCTGTGTCCTCTCTAGAATCACCGGAACGCCGAGCAGCATTGTACTATGTAATGAACCGGCGAAACAGGGGCGAGATTCAGAGGGCGTAGGCATCGAATCAAAGGGACTTCGGACCAATGTATTCTCTAGCTCAGTGGTGTCAGACTTGAATTTGAGGCGGGCCACATTCGAGCGCCGCAGGTGCCCGCGGGCTACTTTAAAAATTTACTTCCGTAAGACTGGAAAATATATGCCTATCGTCAGTGGCGGATTTACCCAGTAGGCTTAGTAGGCTACAGATTGGGGCGGCAGTTTTCGGGGGGGGGGCGGCGAAATCCTGGTTGGATCTTCTGTGGTCCCCGACAACTCACTCAGTGGAATCATTCGAGATCGAGACGAGGACGTCGACAGTAATTCTCGATCAAAGGCGAGGAGCCGTCTCAAAAACTAACCGCGAGACATAATTTCTTGGATACCCGATCAAGTGTTTTAAGAAGGAATTTTTTTTATTTTTCCGGGATCGACTGAATAAGTGGAGACGATTTCTAAGTCTACGTTTTCTAAGTTCTATCCTCAGGCTTGGGATAGAAAAGAAATCTTAAAAAATCGGAGCAAGCGCCGGGAAGAACCGGGATTCATTCCCAGAAGGATTGCATCAGGGCGGCGGTCAGCCAGGGGACGGCAAAGGGTCTCGCAGGAAATGTGCCCCTTTTTGAAAATCGCTTCGGCGACCAACTTCAGAGAGCTGTATCTCCAGAACGGTTGGTCGTAGAGCGACGATCGAAGGCGCGTTGGGAAGCTGAGTCTGAGAGCTTTCATTTGCGCTAGTCAGATCGGGGAAAGGATCACTTGGGACGGAGATATATGACGATTTTCACGGATCGAAAACTATATCGACGATTTCGCTGATTTTTCTTTCGCGGACTGTTTTCCGCGAAATACGACTATGTGCGAAGTTTCAGAGTGGCTGCTCAACTGTGAGTATGTTTAAGTACCCGAAAACCCTTTTTTCATTGAATAAGCCCAATTGGATTCTACCACCATTCAGCTTGCGGAGGTTTCCATCTAGAGAACGGTTGGTCATGCGGAGCCGAGAAAACTCCTCCTGGGAAGTTCGCAATGAGGACTTCCCCCTTTAGATCGCGTTGGGTATCGGAGGATGCCATGAGTCACGGGATATCGCTCTTCGAGTCAGCCGAGAGGCGAGAGTATTGATTTACTTGTAGCTAGATTCGCTCAACACTACGGGTACATCGCTCAACTTCTAGTCTTGATCCGTCTCTTCCGAAAGTTCCGTGTCACTATCCC